GAGCCACTGCCTTCAATTCGGACTTCGTGGACAGTGTTGCTGGTGGTGTGTGGTAACCCGGCTTCCTCCGTTAGGAGGAGTAGGAGTAGGAGTAGTAGTAGTAGTAGTAGTAGCAGTAGGAGGAGGAGGAGGAGTAGTAGTAGTAGTAGCAGCAGCAGCAGCAGCAGTAGTAGTAGTAGTAATAGCAGTAGTAGCAAAAAGTACTACAAGTAGACGAACGATGTGATCAAATATTCTACTGGTCATCATAAACAAGTAGTGGCTTGCGCATAGGGACTACTGCAATTACCCCTCTCTCACCTTGGGGTCGGTTGCAGCTGCCATGGTAGCTGCAGCCTCCGCCTGTGTACGAAAGACGTGGACAAGCAAGCAACTGCTAGAAATCGAGTAGGGCTGGCGCCTTGTCCTGTTCGGCATCCTAAACCACCCTGAACCCTCAAATTCAAACGCAGCACCGCGTGCAAGCGAGCGCGTTTGCGGGGGGAGCGGGGGCACCAAAACCCTTCGAGCGAGGATTCCCCCGGAACCCTCAGCTTCCCTTCTCGTTCGCCTGTGCTTGGGTGTCCTCGGCTCTGTGGGCCTCAGCAGGGGAGCCGGGGGGAAAGGGGGCTTTCAAGCGCACGTGTTGGGTCGCTGCGGCATCGATCACGGGCGTGAGTAGGTCTGCTTGCATGTCTGATTGCAGGTCGGATTGAGGGTCCTGCAGCTCTGGAGAGTCATGGCCTAGCCACTCTAGCCTCTCTGCCGGGCCGTGGCCTTTTGTGAAACTGAAGGCGCAGGCAAGCTCACGGGGGCTGGCTGCTCCTTCCAGGTGCGATTGCCTTTGGCTTCGCTTGTCGCACGCATGCAGGGGAAGCTGAGATAGAAGCAGCATCTCCCTCCAAGAGGAGCTTCTTAACACATTGGAACCTCAGCTGAGGAGACTCGACAGCTTTAGCTCCCGCGAAACAGGCATGTCCTCATCTCTGAGTTTGCCACAACGAGTTGAAGGCTAAGCTATCACCTCCAAGCCTTTGGAATACAAAGACAACCCGGTTCTCCGGGATCTGGTATGCCTCGCTTCAGAGTTCAGTCATGGTTTCTGCCTCCATGGCACTGCGGAATGCAAGGGCGCCAACCCGAAATTTGATCTCGCACATGAGATCTTCCCAAACTACCTGTGCTTTCACCTGGCGCTGCCCAACTTGAGAGGGACTCAGCCAACAGCAGTAAATCCGGCGGGGTGTGGATCGAGTCTATTGTGTCACAACACATGAAGGCATAGCTGCGAACTTCTTTCTGTTCACCTTAGCCACTGCACAGGGCACAGCACATCTAAGAAACAGACCAGCTGATCAGCTTCTGCGGCTGCACAAGCAATGACTGCTGCGCTCTACTTCCTCTTGGCCTCCATCTTCTGAACCCGGTCTGTTGCTTCGCAAGCACCGATTGCGCCGTCAGAATTAACATCGCAGAGATTCGATGTCGGTTTGCGCGGCTTCCGTGGGAAGAAGAGGCTTTCGAAGCTGCGGATATTCTTGGACACCGATCCTGTCATGGACACCTGGGGCCCCGGCCTTGCAATGCTGGTTCAATGCTGTCGAAATTCCTTCGCATGTCAAGCCGACGGTATGTTCTGAAGCGGCCGTAGTCGCGCTAGCATGCCCTCGGCGGCCTTGAGCGGTACCATCCGTTCCCCTACTCAGGGCCTACTCGTCTGCACCGCCGAAAAATGGCGCGGACCGCAGCAGCGAAGCCCAGCGAAGTCCTTTTCCCCAGTCTTCAACGATGTTGTCGGGCTCAGCCCGGCGTGTGTCAAACGCACGAAACTGAGCCCTGTCCGGTCGTCTCTGCTTCGCGAGCTCTGGACGCAAAAGACTGTTCATGGTGGCAAGGATTCCACGCAGCCTGACTGCACATCGTTCTTGTATCTGTCCTTCGGCTCCAGTCCGTCTCGGTAGTTTTTTGGGTCCCCATTCGGTCTCAAGTCCGTCGATGCGTCACCATGAACTTCTGGTGAGAGATTCCACTAGGGGCAGCGGCCCAAGTCCATTCTGACATCGTCCCTCGACCAGGGGCGGCGGTATCGGTTCTGGTCTGATTCACGTCGAACACTGCAGCGATCTCTGATCTGACAGGGTTCGACACCTGGGGGAACTCATCTCGCTGAGACCCTCGCTTTCTTGATGCGTGCAGTGATCGTGTCCAGCAGGAATGTTAGCCTGTAGCACGAAAGCGAACAGGAGATGCCAAAAATGGAATGAACAGGCTCTCGACAAAGCAGGACAACGACAAGCAGCTGGTTTAGGATTCATGGGCCCAGGGCCATCTCAGCATTTCCTACGCGATAAACAGACAACGCATCGATTTTCCATGTGGAGGTAGAATGCCTCAGGCTCAGTTCACAGGCCCCGACAATCGATTGCCGTATTCCCATGCCTGCGAAGAGTAGCATTGCGAGGACCATTTCTGCTCTAACTCAAGTGCTGCACGCACTGGCTTTCACAAATGCATCAAGTTCCAGTGCAGAAGGCCAAGGCCACACAAAACTCAGCAGACTGCAGGCAGCAATTCGAACTCTTTTCAAGAAAGGCACGTGGGACTCTCGGAACTGCAGAACCTGCATCTGCAAATCTAGATAAGCTGCGGGCGTCGGCAGGCAGGACATAAGCCGAACTTGGGAAACTCAGTCTGGGTGTCTTGGACGACCAAGCACCTTCAACTGAGCCACGGTGAGAAGTAGAGTTGAATCAAGGGTCCCGGCGCAGGCTGTCAGCGGGCTGCTGGATCACTTGCATGACCTCTTTGTCCAGGTTCTCTGGATGTCGGCAAGAGCTCCCCGCGTCTTCTCAGTACGCCTCCAGCAACTGCAGTTCTGAGCCCAGGATGTCCTTCA